ATGTACTTTGTTCCTTTGATCATAATCTCTTCATTCATAGGTTCTTCGCCTTCCTGACAAATTTTACATAATTTTCGCCGATTTTCGTAACTCATAGAGTCACGTGATCTTAATGTTGTATATCCAGTTAAACTTCGTTTTGATAATGGAATTGCATTATTTATTTGGCAACTGTCAATATAATGAAAGCTATATCTGTTCAATTCTTGTTCTCGGGTAACCTGTGGGGGATATTCGGGAGGCGGCGGATAGTACAGAGTTGAAGATCTACGACGATTTGATTTTTGTTGTGAATTTTTGGGTAAAGTGGGAATGATCGCAGAAGGAATAGATGATTCGGGAGATCTTGATCTAACAGTTTTATCATTGCTTTCAAAATTATCAAAAGATGATGTTGAATACGTAGCGGTAGGTGACACTATCGATGGATAATCAATTGTAGTTTGCGATCCTTAACATAAATTTTATATTTTGATTATTTTATGATTTATATCTTCATATAGTTAATTATTGAGAAAATTAGCATACATACTTTTAGCTGTTCTAAGAGAATGAATTCTGTCAGAAGAATTTCTAGCGAAAGGAAACGTATGTCTATAATGTGGAAGATTCCCTACCGACAAATTGCCTGGGTGAGGATTTGATTGATATGTCGTAGATCCGGTTGCTCTACCTCGATGAATAGTTCCGGAATAAGAGGAAGAAGAAAGAAGCGAAGGACTTGGGCTTCTTGGAGAAAGTGATCTTTGCATCATATTATTATTAAAATCATCAGCAGACGTAGAAATAGAAATACGTGGTCGATGTGGCGCTTCCGAATGCTGCCTTATTCCTTCTATTCGACTTGTTAAAATATAATATTATTTTTTATTATTATTACCGCTTGCTCGCCAAGCGTTTGTCGTTTGACATTCAAGTAAAAGTCATTCATATCATTGGAGACGCAAGTAACTTAAAAAAACTTGCCTGCTGGGAATTGGATCTTTTCGTTTATCCATTATTATTGTTGTTCTATGTCATCGAGATGTATAATAACAATTTTTTAATGACTACTGCTTCCTTTGCTAATATTGAAATGTAAATTAAAAAGTAGAAAAACTCGTAGATAATAAACCTAAAGAGACACAAATCATGGAAATCGCCAGGACAATTAACAAAAGCAGGGACAAATACAATTTATTTGAATTGAATATAGCTTTCGACAAACACAGAGAGAAAAGACAATTAGCAAAGTTATTAAATTATTTTTGATAGCATAATATGTACGGGCTCATGCATCGGGAATTCTTTAATTATTATATAAATTTTTAAGAAGAACGTTTAGAAATTATTATTATTATTATTATTATTATTATTCAAAATCATGAAGTTTCCCTAGCTCTCGAATTTCACGTATCAAGTTATTACGAGCATCCATTTCACATCCACTACGTTTCTCCAAAAATATTCGAGAAAAATATAAATTATCACGCGCGAGAAATTTTTCGAGTACTTTTGCACGACCGATCGAAAAGTCTTTGGTGGAATAGTGAATGTATTCTTGTCGGATTTGTTTTGCGTATTCATCATATTCTTTATCATATTATAATTTATTACAATGTATTCGCATTGTTGATTTTTTATGTTGAATTAATTATGAAAAGAACAATAGACACTTGCCATCAGGTTCCCAACTTAATACCTCCAAATCGAGATCCAAGAACAATTTCAAATCTTCCCTAATGCAATTATCATCATTTCTGCCGTCGACATCATTATCGTTATTGTTAATCGCGAATAATGGCAATTCATGATGAATTGTCGCAGTGATAAAAAGCGAAACGTGTTCCCTTTCTGTTGCAGTCTTTTCATATTAAATAATGAAAATATAAGATAATATAAAATATACCGCTTAAGAGTAAAAAAAAAAAAATGGATTAAATTTTTACCAATTCAACTTCTTGTGCATACTCGTCAAATAATTTTATGCTCTCTACTTCATTATGATTGAATTTTTTTGGATCATAGACAATGCTATTAATTAATTAAAATGAATTTTACTATTTTTCACTTTCGTAATGACATGGTGATTTAAGAAAGTAAATTAGCTGCGTTACTCATGAAAAAGAATGGCTAAAACCATAATTTTATCATTTACGATTTTCTCTTTGAACTCTTCAAATAGATTCAACATTCTCGTGATATGATTTATTGTATGATAGTATCGATGTGGCTCAGAATAACTATTAATAATGATATTGAACCATTTTGTGATGTGTGGTTCTGGGATGTATTTTTGGCAATAATTAAGTAGTGATGGTAACTGCTGCTGTTGATTGCTGTCAGCGGTCATTATTGGAATAATGTCATGTAAATACTGTATCCTTTCATTTTCTATTTTCTATGGAATTACGTAAATCATTTTCTGTTGTTTTATCATACTTGATCAGAAATTAATTGCAAATGACAAATGGACCAACTTCTATACATTGCTAGTGTGACGGTAACTTCATACTGATTATGAAAGTTTATTGTACTACCATAAACAATTATCATATTCTACTCGTTTTTGGTACCACTAATAGATTCCTATCTACATGTACTACTCTTTAACCATATTTATTATTACATAGTGCGGAGAATCAGGATCAGAATCCTAATAAATACCATCAATCATGTTACTGCTCTTTTTCTACTTTGACTCGATAACAACCTTACGCGTAAATTAAAGTTTTTGTTCCGCGTAGGTTATATTGAATAGATAGAATTTACTCGTGAATTCTTCAACGACAAAACAAAGCAGCTCCATCGTCATCTTCTGACCATCTACTCCTTCGTTTTTTTAAGTATGAACGCCGTTCAAAGGAATTTATTAGAGGTGAGAAGTGAGACGCTGTAAGAATTATTTGGAATTTCGCTCGAGATCGTAGGTCATTCATTAGAATAAACATATACATACTTCAAATAAAATAATAAACAAAGAGAGCGACACTAATTCGTTTATTTGGTTCGCTCTCAGATTCAAATTTGGACAACCCCCGTTCAATATTAATTGTAATCTTTTATTACTCTTCCTCAAATAATAGACAACTCTCGCAACTTGAGAATTGTTCGTATACACACAACTTTCAAGTTGCAAGAACTTTAACTTGTACAAATAATTGGCAAATGATAAATATAAAAACATAAAAAAATAATTCTGAAACACCGAAATAACGAACACATTCTTAACCAAAATAATCTTCTTGTTAAGAGATATTGATGTTTCAATAAAATAAAATACATATATACATATATACTTTTTATTACTTGATTCTATTAATCTTTACTGTTAATTTATTGTTATTTGTACTATTATTCAGAATATCTTTCGTCCTTATCTCGATTCTGCTTTGGTGACCGCCATCTTGAACGACGGCCATGATTTCGGCGCATGTTTAGATATTCTTAGTAAACTCGCTGAAGGAACAAATTTGGTTCAAAGTTTATTAATTGACGGTACCGAAAATTGCTCCGAAAACGATAGGAATATTAACAAAAGTTCTAACAGTGAAACCTTCAATAATAGAGAGGATAAACAAAAGTTCAGGGATAAGAATGGCGCGGACATGCATGATGTATTCGAGGAATATTCACCAAATTTGGAGGATTGTTTAGATAGTCTTGATTTGAATGGTGATCCTTTTGATTCCGGATCGCATGCTCGATTTCTTAAAGGTTGCTTTCCCGCATTGTCCGATGAAAAGGTTAATAAATTACTTCACGAATATGATAATAATCTCGAAAAAATTTTGGATGTTGTATTGAACGAAATCTATTTGGAATCAGAACAACTTGATTCGAAATCGACATATTCGTCTTCAGTATCTTCTGCTTCATCCTTCGACACGAGAGATGAAGATTACGATGACGATTTATCATCTGAGGCACGTTTTAAACATCGCAAGAAGAAACGACGCAGGCAACAAAAGTCCACGAGAATTTTGCTCCACGTTAATGGTCTCATACATAATTCAAATAATCCTACGTCAACCGCTCAATCATCTGAACCGTCATCAAAAGCTCCCCCACCTTCATCAATCTCGGAACCCCCTCCGCCAGCTTTCACCACATCACGCGAGCAGAATCAATGGACTAAATTCGAGAGAGAGATTCAACAATTAGCGAATGCATTTCCTACTATCCCTCGTAAAACCATCGCTTCGACTTTGCATTCTAACGGAGGAAAGTATTATGAAACAGTATTGAAATTGATTTCCATTTGTCCGACAGTGCCGAACTGCCAACAACGATTATTCCACGAGAATTTAAATCATTTGAAAGCTGTTTTTCCAAATCATGACGAGAAAATTCTTAGAAAAGCACTTAATGGTACCGGCTCTGCCCAAATGGCAAGCAGTTTATTATTACTATGCTATGATAGTGGTTACGGGAGTAATGATGGTAGTAATATTTCAAGTCCGGATGAGCTTGATACAGTGAAAAATGATTATTTTAACGCCGAGAAATTGAGGGGTCACAATCTGGATTCTGTAAATTTGAAAAATAATTATTTCAATTCCGAAAGATCGAAGAAACAACCGGATTTGTCTCCAAGTCCATTCTTACCAAACGGCGTGCAATTTGATCATGATACCGGCGAATACATTTTCGTTCAAGAAATAAAGAAGAACAACGCCTCTAATTTCCATATGAAAAACGAGAAAGTCCGCGAAAAAAATCGTTCAACTTCGCCACTCTCGTCTAATTCATCATCGACTGATCTGTTTTCAAATTATTACGGTTATAGTGATGATGAAGTGGAGGATGACGATGATGAGGAATACTATGATCCTCAATATTGCCGTCAAAGAGCAACTGAGTTAATGGCAAAAAGGAATGAGGCTTATCGTAAGGCTGTAACAGCTTTTCGGAAGACAAAAGGGCGCGTTCAAAATGGAGAAGGCGGGATCGCGTTCTTCTATTCTGACGAGGTTTTTATCTCATTATTTATTCGGGACATATGGGATAGTAAGAACAAGCAAAGATTTTAAACTGACGCATTTAAATATGATCACAGGGTCGTAAATATGATTCCGAAATGAAATTATGGAATTTACGTGCCGTTAGATCAGTGGTAAAACGAGATAGGTAACGAGATTCTGGAGATTTTTTAAATTCACGTAATTTCATCTCAGCTCGCAAACAAATTCATAATTGTCCAATGAATTTGTTTAGTGAGGCAAACAAAGATCACATTCTTTTAGATTTGCATGGATTAACTGTTGCGGAAGCACTTACAGTTGTTAAAGAAGGGTTGGCACAATGGTCTAAAGGAACGAAGCAAAGATGTAATTAACCTTTTATTAATATCGATGTTTTAACATTGAAGTGTTTGCAGGTTTTTTCTTTGCTAAATATTTTTTTTTCCTTTTCTATATGATAAACAACAGCTCACTCTCCAATAAAGCCCTTAAAGATCGTCACTGGCTTGGGTAATCATTCACCTAATGGTGTGGCGAAGCTGCCCCCAGCTGTTGCTCGAATGTTGTCTAGAGACAAGTGGGATGTGGTTAGACATCAGGGATACTTTTTGGTCAGGGGTCGTCAAACAGAAGATGTTATAAGGTAGCGGTCGGCCCTCGTTAGTAAAGAGATGAGGTGTTCCGTCTAAGAAAAAGGGGTATTTGTTGGATGTTACCAATAATTTTACATTATGTTATATGAATTCGATTTAATGTTATCAATTATCTTATTATGAAATAAACATTCAATTATATTATTTCGTATCGTATATATCGATATGTGATGGTCGATATGATGTCATGGGGCAATCCGAGAATCTATATTTTCGGGTTAAAGCAGCAAATTGTGGCTGCATGTGGCTAAAACTCGTAAATTCTTAAAGGGTCCCAGTAAATAATGTCGACTAAAGAACTACGTCGTCTTCTCTCTTCTACACTTTCCCAACGTCAAGCTTCTGCCTCTACTTCCACTAAAATAACGCACCCCTTTGCAAAATATGAAAATAATAAACTGAGTTGCATCGTATGCTCTTCTACCGTCAAAAATGATACTATATGGAATGTGCATCTTAATAGCGCGGGACATAAGGAGCAACTGAAAAAGTTGAAAGAGATCAAAGAAAGAGTGAAAAGGAGTGGTGAAGTTGGTCAGACTACAACAACCAAAGAAACAAAAGAGAGTTTTAGCACGATAGATCAAGTCGAGAAGAAGAGACCAGCTAGTAGTTTGGAAAGCACGAAAACGGTAAAAGGTGGGGGAGTAAGGTCTTCATTGGTTGAATATGACGAGGACGATGACGATGAAGAGAAAGAAGAGAGCAAACAAGAGGAACCGAAAGTTAAAAGAGTGAAATTTGCAATCGATGAAGAGAAATCAAGTATCGCTTTACCTCCCGATTTCTTTGATGACTCGGAGCAAATGGATTACGAAATAAATGATGATGAGCAGGTTGATGAATTTTCATCCTCAGAACAACTTGCCTCTTTACATATAGATTCTTCCTCACCTCAAGAAGACGATACATCTGAACTTGAGACTAAAACAAAATCATCACAAAAAGCCGAGCCCGTTATTTCCGAGTCTTCCGTATTACCGGATGACTTTTTTGATAATCCAAAGAAATCTTTAGGTTCATCCTCGTCATCGTTAGGAAATAACGAGAAAAATCAATCGGCAGAAATTGACGAAGAAGAATGGCAACTTTTTCAACGGCTCATTTCTAAAGAAACACAAGTCTCTAATAAGATTGCCGATGCCGATGAAGAAGAATTGCAGCGTGATCGAGATGAAATGCAGGAAAGAGAACAAGAAATGTGTTTTCAAAGATTAAAAAAATTAAAAGAACATGCAAATCGTGTTAGACAGAAACAAAGTGAAAAAATGATAATAGCCACTACTTCTTCTAGATCGTTGGAGGAAGAAACAAACGAAGATGGGGATGAAATGGAGGAGGAGGATGATGATGATGATGACGACGATGAATGGATGGATTGGAGATCTCAAAAAATATTGCGATAAAGTTCTATGATGGATAAAAAGACATTGGCAACAGCTTTATTTCTTACTAAAATTCAATATTTTTTATTTCAATATCAGTTTGAAAATAAACCAAACTTTTTTTATTATTATATCATGATGAAAAGAATTATTCTTCATAGATTGTATAATGAATTTAATTTTCACCATCTTTCTTTAGAATATCGAGTTCTTAACTTCCTCTATAAGTGGTATAAGAATAAGGACTCAGGATCAATGGAACATGATAATGTTGCGTCGTATCGGTGACTTCAAAGATAATCTTTGAGAAAATACGCATGGCAAATTTAATAGTTATCTCTTTCTATATATGTATAAATACAGAATCTCATTATTATTATTACCTGAACGTATGGATAAAAGGTATCTTTATTAAAATTACGAAAATAAGAGCCCGTATTAAAAGTGAAACGATATAATCCTTCGGTTATTTCGGGACTCTTAGCTGAAAGAAGATTTGGACATCTGCCATCTTCGTTTGTTTCTCTGTGACAAGAAATAAACATAAAAAACACATCAATTGTTAAATATTCAAGTAAAATTCGCTGTAATTATTCTTATCCATCCATAAAATATACCCTACTGCCACAAGAACCCAATTCTTATCAGGCTCTTCTGACGAAGTCGACGTTTTTTTCTCCAATCTAATTTGGAGCATTTTCGCTGGTTCACCACGCGACGTGTCAAGAACATGACAAGTTATTGGACTTTTTTTGGACATTCTTATTTATGTTTTTTTGACGACGAATAGTTAGATGAAAAAGATGGTTTTATTTATATTTGTGATATCATATCATTAATTAATCAACAATGATAATTATTACAACTACTACGATAAACTAGTAAATACAAAAACCAATAGCGAAAGTAGGGTGATTAACTAAATCTTTGTTTCTGCTTTCTTGATCCATTGTTGAACTTCCGCTGCTACCTCTTCTGCCTTTTTGGGATCTCTTCCAGTAAATTTACCTTTTACTGGTACATCCAGACCACGTTTTACGGCCTCTCTTGCATATATACGGTCTATCCAAGCGGCAATATTCGGGTATTCGTCTATGAATAGATAAAATTACGAGTGAGAATTGGCATTTTATGGCGATAAGACGCGTACGTACCTAAAGTGATGCCAATCGACGCGTGATAGATCAGCCACGTAAAGTTTGCAATGTCGGCTATTGTCAAAGAGTCACCGACAAGGTATTGTCTACCCTCTAATCGAGTTTCAATTACCTGTGAAAATTATTTCGATCAAATAAATAATAATAATGTATGTATGTATGTATGTATGAAAAAAATTAATAAATACATGATAAAGTCGTTTGGTCTCTTCGACATATCGTTTGATAGCGTATGGAATTTTCTCTTTTTCGCGCCAGAAATGGCCTGCTTGTCCTTGCATTGGACCAATACCGCTCATTTGGAACATCAGCTAATTGCAATTTTATTATTAATATTCAACATTCATGTATAACACAAATTATTTCAGTCATGAAGAATATTTGATTTTTACCCACTGATCAACTTCGGATCGTAAGTTCGCGTCATCTTTTGGAAGCAATTTTCCTTCTTTATCGTAATGCTCACACAAGTATCGCATTATTGCACCGCTCTCGAATACGTTAAAATCGTTGCGAGAGTGATCGATAATCGCGGGAATTCTATTTTGACAAACGTTTAGTATTTTATGAATATTATACATCTAGAAATAATAATAATAACTATTTACCTTCCATTCGGATTTATCTTCAAAAACCTTGGATACAATGAATTTAATTGAATTAAATTTTTGTTGAGTTTTTACTATAAAAGCACTTAATTAATCCTCCTTTACCATGGTTCCTTTTGCTCATTTTTGCTAAGCGTTATAGCGTAAGTTTTATAAGGTAACCCCAACTCTTCTAAAGTGACACTAACTTTTTGACCCTTTTATAGTTTTAGAGGAATAAAAGAGCAAAAAAGATTTAGAATCATAAGAGAAAGAATTAAAAGAATAATTTAAGCAAGGAAAATGAATACATTAGGAGTTGCAGCAGTGTAAAAAGTGATATCAGGTTGTTGTGCTGACATACTTGGCAAACTAACGAAAAAATGTTTAGAAAAAAGCTGATGGTTAAATTGATATAATGGACGTAACGGTGGTAGCGAATGCGTTCTACGTCTAATTGGCGATTTTCTGAGAATCGAAAGAAGATTGGGAAACATCTTATTTATACTTTTTTCGCTTGTTCTAATGCTAAGTATTTTTTGACGCGCCGATCATTCTTTCTGAGACGCGTGAGAAAAAAAGGAAATATTATTAATACGCGCGTTATATGAAAAGAAAAGAAAAGAAGGAAATATTAAAGTTGCCAATCGAAAACGGTTGCTTGTGAGAGTGTGTGAGACGAAGAGGTATATAGATCTTACAAATCATGCGAGTTAGTAATCCGGGAGAAAAATCTAGAATAATAAAACGTCTTCATTTTTAAATTCGTAATCGAGAAAAAGAACGTGTTTATTTGAATACTAAAAGTTAAAAAATCGACACTGGCCGCAGTAATTCGGACTATTTTCGGTAACAGTTTGGATGAAAAGGGCTATATAGAATCCCGAATCTCGTTAAAATTGCTGCCGAATTTAGGCAAAAATTCGAGAAAATTCAGCAAACGAAATGCTTACCGCATTTTGCCATTCTCGACTACGACGGATGAATAGCTTGTTATAGGTGATTGAGAAAACAGGTGATTCGAACGCTTGCTTGCGAAATGCGATTATCCATCGATGATACCAATGAAATTAAATATACAAATAGATGAATGAATTTGCTTTTTCATCTTTTACGTTAAACTTTAAATATAACCTGTTTCACGTTAATGGCGAAAAAATCTATTGTAGCAATTGATGGAAAAATAGTGTGTACATCTGTACGAAATAAATCTTGTCTAGAACTAGCAAACATTATTTTATGGCTAATCATACGGGCTGATTTACCCCATAATTTAGATTTGGCCCAATTTCGGTAATTTGCGGCTGGAGTTAAATCAGCTGTGGAATAAAATTCGCCCATATGCAGTCAACCAGCCTTACTCGTACATGCTTTCTTTTGTTTCATTATCTCCGCCATCGAATGAAACCGTCATTAAAACGTTTAGAGGTAATCATATTTCGGTTGGTGAGGATTTTATTTCATTGTAAGTTTTTTTTTTGAATTCATAAAATGAAATTAAAAGAATCGTTCGACCCATCAAAATATAAAAGACCACCAATGATAATTATTAAACGTGTCTTACATCACGTTATCTATGGAAAATGAACAATAGCAATTACAAAATCGGTTGCCATTTTCTTTGCGTTTTGGCGCAAACCTTGTAGGTATTAAAATTTTTCGCGCGTACTTTTTTTAGAAAAATCTTTGTTTGTGATTTATTACTAATATAGTCATACAGATATCCTCATAGACTGCTACTTCTATACCGTTAATACCAACTTTCGATAAATGAAGATTACTCTCACTACATAGTAAATAGCGACAAGAAAAGTTTCTTAAAGTTTTTTATTCATTGTTTCTTACACATAATGCATACATACACACCCACATACTTTACTTACATAGTTGCATGCATGTATGCATACATACATATGTACATACATGCAGACAGACTACGCGCACTCGCACACGCATACACGCGCATAATATCAAGCTGCGATGCAAATATTTTATCTGGTTGCATTAAATGAACAGGAAATAACGCAAGGATTAGGAAACCACTCGCATAAACCGGTTGTCAGCAGATAGATAAAGAATAACAACCTTTTATGGTATTCCCCATATATCGTTTCACGAGGATCACACACACCCCAAAAATAATCTAACTTTTTTATAATAACGCTGGCGTTTATCCAGCAAAGAAAACTTATTGTTGTATGCATTAGAGCGGCGAGGCGGAGCTTTGTCTTTATCTTCATTGTTATGTGAAAACTGAAGAAAGTAAAGTACCTTTTCGAAATGTATCAGCCCAAGATTAATTAATTATAGTTTTTTGACCAAGTCCGAGAAATGGTCTTTAGATCATGTGATTGTAACGCCGATGTGATAAGAACGCAACGAGAATATCCACAAACTTTCGAACTTAATTAGGACTTTGATCTTTTACTATTATTACGATATGTGTATCTACATCGACATTAATCTCTCTCTCGCCTAGTCACATGATTCGAATAAGCACAGACCAAAGAAATAAAGATCGTATCGCAAGAAAAGAAATATTTCTAGAAGGATCGAAACATTATTTTGTAGATCTTTCATTTTCAAAAAAAAATATTTCAAAAATACTAGTTTAAATCATTCAAGAATACGACGATTTCTGCCACGTTGCAATGAGATTATTTTTTCTTCAACCTCGGATGACAACAATAACTAAACTACAACTTTATTTGTACAAAAACAAACAAACATGGCATCATATGACATTTGTTATAGTGTATAAATGAGCAAGAATTGACAGCCGCCTTCGCCCAAAGGACAGATGAAACCTTGTACAAAACCCTAATTACCTGTGTTATAGCTGTCAAGAAAGAAAGAAAGAAAGGAAATAGGAAATAGATAGAAAATGACAAATTTAGCCAGGAATGCAATTTTAATATTTGGTATTCTTTTGTTCGTTTCTATTTGGTTACGCCTGTCCAAATTAATAGGCTTACTGCCCACGCCAAAATATTAAAGTGTCACATATACGCTTTGACACATATTCATCCATAGATCAAAAAAGCAATCAAATCATAATAAACAGCAGCCGAACAAGATTTTTAAACTTTTAATCACATCATCATCGTCATCATCATTCATCGATTCGTTTGCATTACATTATTACATAATGATCCTATATTATTCGCCACATAAAATAATCATCATCATCATAATAATCACCACACAACAATATCTGGCACGAATACAATAACTTGGAATGATACGATTTATAGAAGTTTCAATTATGTTTGATGCATAAGGCTCACCACGTTTAATAATGAATTAATCAAGAAGTTTTGTTACGAAAACCAACAGCCTTCTTGACATTTTTTTCCTTGTTACTCGTTTGTTTACGTGATACGACTGTGGATAAAACGCGCTGTCAAATAATCCATCAAACAATAAACCGTCTTTTTCTCTTTAAACTCTTATGTTGTGATCTAAAGTTTTCCGGTATACAATCAAGAAAATTAGGGTGGGCGGTTTAGTTTGTCCAACCTCTTCTTAAATAAACAAATAAACAATCCCAATCAATCAAAATCAATTCATTCAATCCAATCAATCAATGTATTTCTTCATAGGAATCAGCGCATTATCGCCCATTCATTCGGGAATATATCGTCTATTCATTCGGGGATATTTTCGTTTGGGCGGAAAATACATGTTTGAGAAAATGCAAAAGCCGAATTCGCACACTTTCCAACAATAAGATAGGTTATATATTTATTTTGCAATAAAAAACGACCTATGCATTATATTTGTTTACATTTAAATTCAAGCATTGTCGCGCCAGGTAGGGCACAATAGATCGGCGCGCACATTATTTTAAAATTTTCCTGGCACAAAATGATCGAACCAGATATTATTTGTATTTTTTCACGTAAAACATATATTTTGTGATCCATATTTTTTAATAATATTGATAAAATAAAATCAGTAAATAATGCAAGTGAGATAAGATAATTAATTATATTGACAATTGTTTTTTTTTGTCGTGCCACTAACTCTACAATAGATGAAAAAAATTTGGTCTTGTTGCTTTTATTAGTAGTGGGGATTTAACGTTTAATTGTTTCTCGCCTAGAGAAAGTAGAGATCAGCGAAATTTTTTTGTTTCCCTTGGTGAATAACAATAATCATCATCATAAACACCCACAACAATAACAATAAGGTTTTAAAAATAAGATTTTTTTTCTCGCGTGTTCTTTGCTTATTGTTCTCGATTTTTCGCGTACAATCAAAAAATAAATCCAAACGGGGGAATTTTTTCGCACTAGAAATAGAAAAACTTTATCTTTTCAAATTAATTTTCTCACGCTATTTTGGACTTCGTGGAATTCATCTTCGTCATCATTATCGTCCCATTCATCTCATTGTTGGTTAGGTGGGAGTGGTATGGCGAGAGATTTCTGCTAGAGACAATATACCTTAGATTTTTTTCGATGCTGCACACGTTTATGAGTAGAGAAATTTCTTTTTCTTTTCTCAATCAATTCAACACGCACGAATAAATTGCTCGCTTTTTTACTTTATTCGTGATGAATTCAAATTTCCCCCATCATTGCCATGAATTTTTAAACAATAATGGGATAAATTCCTTTATCATAATAACAATAATAAATTTTATCCTTTTCTGTAGTGTGTATTGAGGCGGATTTTGGTTAAGATTTTTTTGGAAAGCGAAATTTTTTTTGGTCCACGAGACCTCGAGTAACAATATTCGAGCACGTAATAAGGTAAAACAACTACAAGAAACTTTATATCTAATAATAATGATAATAAAAACAAACAGAGTTAAGAATACAAAACGGTTTGTAAACTAATAATAATAATAATAATATTATTATTATTATTATTATTATTATAATAATCATAATAATACTCCACACTTTGGATAAAGAAAGACTCGCACTATAGCATTTTGCAATAATAATAATAATAATTTGTAGAACAAGAATACACTAGCAAATAAAAATAAATAATAAAATTGCTTCTCGAGTGTAATAAGAACAGATAATAAAAATAACTTTAAATTTAAACAGGATTAAATCTTGGTTATGCCATAAAAGTATAGAAGGTGAACAGCCAAAAAATTTGCCGATGACTAAATTCGGTTGACGCGATATAATAATGATACTGCACACGAATCAAAGAAAGATTGTTGTTGTTAATGTTCGTCAGCCATTTTACCTTACCTACCTTTTCTACATGCTTGTATGAGATTCTGTAGAGACGGGCAGAAAAACGTTTTTTCTATTTTCTTTTTGTGCTACTTCGCCGACAAAAAGCATAAAGCATTTCGAAGGTGGGGTCACTTGACCAAAATAAAAATCATCGGACAATCGATTATTGACGACTCATTATCTAATCTCCCCCAAGGTTAGAATTATTATGCGTACATCACGTTTATCGTTGATGACGTTAGATTTTGGATTGTTACATTGATGCAGTGTTACAATCTTTGAACCAAAAAAATTTTTTTCAGTGGCGTCGTATTTTAACTGGGAAACGTATGCGGGGGGTATACCATATTGGTGTGCAGCACAGTAGAAGAGAAAACCTGCAAACACCGATCAAGGGTCCACCAGCTGAACAAACTCAGAATTCCTGTGTCTAAATCGAGATTATCGTCACACATAGTATCGATTTCCCCAGAGTTCCTTTACGTGAGACAATGGTGTTTTACCGATGCATTCTATCCTAAATAAAGTTTAATTCATGTTGATCCTTTCTTGCTTCCATTTTCCACTTTTGGTAATAATTATTGGTGTTATGGTTTTTTTAAGCATAATAAAACGAGATAACTCAGAAAGCAACAATATTCTCCATTGTTTGCATTATTTATCTGCCTCGCGACTGCCATCGAATTACTAAAACAACAACAAACAGCAAAACAACCACACGTCATCATCATCATCATCATCATTAATTAAATTAATTCCATCAAATATAGATAATTAATAATAAAATAATGATTTTCTTGAAAATCTCCTTTGGGACGACAACAACAGCCTCATCATCGTCATCGTCATCGTCACAATAAACGTCATCGTCCGGAAAATGGGAGTGAGGGGAGGTGAATAAGAGACCGAGGGGGGCTTTTTTCTTGGGTATCCTTGAAGAAGACTATCAAAAATCTGGTCGGATAGTCAAATTTAAGGTTCACCAATAAAGACTCAGGATTTTACAGCTTAGAATTGAATTCTGCACATTTTATTGGCAGTTAGACGCTTGTTCAACATCCAGAGTTTTATTGAATATATATGTACATGCAATAATCAGCCTTCTTTTTTTTTTTATGTAATATAATAAATAAACAAATAAATAAATCCGTTAGTACGGTGTTGTTGGTGTAAATGAGACCGGAACTCGCATATGCGGGGTTAGATAAAATCAAATAGTTATAGTAACATCCAAAATGGTAGATTAAAATTCTTCGCCAATATTATTTATACGCTACCTAAATCATTTTTTTTTTCTTCAAAATAAATCCTACTTTTGAACAGTTGCATCAAATACTTCCGACAAACAACACACATTTCTCATCAATATTAAATAATATTAATCTTAATATTATTGTCAAGTACATACCGCTTACTGTAAAGAAGGATCTCTTTGCCTCTTTTTTTTTGTATTATAGTCAATTCTGTATATTATAAATTAATAGTGTAATAATAATAATAATAATAATAATAATAATAATCGCTGTTTCGTTAATAAATATAAATATTAAAGTTTCCTACATTTTGCCATTTTTTCTTTGACAACACGTCCGCAATTATCACATAATAACATTTCATCGAACAACTACAACTAATATAACAAACAACATAACATCCTCCGACTTTTTGTGACCCGCGAGGCGTTTGTTAAACAATTCTTGCCCTTCCTTGGTCACAATAATAATAATAATATCTTTAATCCCAAGATATTAAACAACATAACAATAGTCATCCCGTGTACATTTAAACTACCCTAATATAAAAAACTTTCTTTTTGTTTGTTCTCACATTATCAGTCATCAACCTCCATAAATACTCCCCTAGTTCACGTCCAAGATTCCATCCATTCATCAACAAGGATTAATTTATAAATAAAAGACACCATTTGATCTTATATTTTGTATTATTTATTATCCTTTCGTAACGACACTTGTAATATATTTTTCTGACTCTCTCTATAAATCTTCCACGTAACCTATCGGGTTTAATCTTTGATAATAATCTCAACCACAAAAAAAATCTAACGAAATGAATGAATATCTCAAAAAGATGAAGCTCAGCGAGATTGTTGACTGGACCTCCAATAATAGTTTTCGCTCTTCAGTGCAATCTAAAAAGTCAGTGCAATCTAAACAGTCGGCCCTTATGACTCCACCTTCTTCAGGACCTTCTTCACCTGAACTCTCACCCTCATTGTCACCGGACCAACCAAAATACTCAGCACCTACACCTGAACCCCACTCAATGTCTCTGGATAGTGGTCGTGTCACTCCCCCTTCTTCTGAATCCTCACGTGCTGATAATGAAGCTGCTTTTGCCAATGTTACCCACACTCCACCGACTGGTCGGTTATCGGTGACTATTGTCGCTGGTCGTAAACTTAATGTCAGCAATTATCAGGCTAAGCCTTACTGTGTGGTGGAATTCGAGAGAAGCGAATTTGTTACCCGAGAAGCTTTAAGAGATGGTGATCTGTCTTCACACAGAGACGGGAAACAAATGAACTTTATGGATCTAGTTCGCGCTGCTACAAATCCTGTTTGGAATCAAACGGCTACATTGTAAGTTCATCTCGTGATCTTTTCCTTTTCACATCTTTATCGATCGAGTTCAATTCCTAATCATTGAAAATATATTTAATCATTTAAGTGATGTTGCTCGTATTGATGGAGAACTTCATATATCAGTGTACGAACGTGTTCATAATAATAATCACGCTCAAGAGATCTTCCTTGGTATGTTAGCTATTAAACCTCCAAGACGAAATGATAAAGTCATTGATGGCTGGTTCAAGTAAGTAAAATAAATCTCCTTGTCACGTAAAGACAATTTTTTTTTCATTGTTTAATCCTAATTCCCTAATTCCTTCATAGACTTACGCCAAGAAGCAAAGGTGAAAATGTAACTGGTGAAATGCACGTGCAGATCTCTTATGAATCCGTCGCTGTAAGCATCACGATATATTCATCTTTGAAATCGCGTGAAAATCAACGAAAATTAACGAAATAAAAATTTCTTTGTAATTAGAAAACACATCTCACGCCTGCTTCCTTCGAAATTCTTAAACTCATCGGTAAAGGAAATTTCGGCAAAGTATTCCAAGTCCGTAAAAAAGACACTGGTCGAATTTACGCCATGAAGGTGCTACACAAACAGGATCTGATTGAACGTCGCGAAGTGGAACATACTCTTGCCGAGAAAAACATTCTGATCCAAGCCGAAACTTGTCCTTTCTTAGTTGGCCTAAAATTTTCATTCCAGACTCGTACTCACCTTTATTTGGTGACCGATTTTATGAATGGGGGAGAATTGTTTTGGCATTTGCAAAATGAAGTAAGACTCAGCGAAGAAAGAGCGAAATTTTATGCCGCTGAAATCGTCTTGGCACTAGAACATTTGCACAAATATAATATTGTCTACAGGTAAATTATTATTATTTTTCTTCTTCTTGCCATTATTTACTCTAAATTGACCTTCATTATTAATATATTTTTTTTTTCTTATCATTAAACAGAGATCTAAAACCCGAAAACATCCTGCTTGATGCTACAGGGCATATTGCGCTCTGTGATTTTGGACTTTGCAAAGAGAATCTTGGGGCTGGTCAAACTACAAATACATTCTGTGGTACATCAGAATATCTTGCTCCGGAGGTTTTGGCCGAATGTGGATACGGTAAATCAGTTGATTGGTGGAGCTTGGGCATTCTTTTCTATGAAATGATTGCCGGCTTTAGTCCATTCTACACTCATGACACACAAGTTATGTACCGAAGGATCTTGTTCGGAAAACTTAGATTTCCTAAAGGTTTATTCAGTGATGAAGCAAAGAGTTTAATCAAAGGGGTACGTTGATATATTCCATCTTTATTTTGTAATAGTTTTTATTTAAAATCGTTATCTAACCTTTTTATGATCTAAATTTATTAGCTCCTTGCACGTAATCCTCAACACAGACTCGGCACTTATCATGATGCTGAAGAAATCAAAAATCATCCCTTCTTTGATAATATCAATTGGGATGCTTTATATGCAAAGAAGAGTACACCACCCTTCAAGCCAAATGTCGCCTCTGAAGATGATACATCTTGTTTCGACCCGGCTTTCACCGAGGAAGAAATTGATGTTTCAAAAAATATGAGCAAGAATGGCACAAATGCATCAACTAATAGTGCGTACGAGGCTTCGAATCAATTTCAAGGATTCACTTACTCTGGGGAAAAAGATGGAATCAATAATACACTTTCTTTGGGATGTGGATTTGAGGTGGGATCTATTGCCGCAGTTCAAGCTGCTGTCAATTCTGGTAATTGGGGAAGTTTGGAAGATATATTACGGTGTTAATTCACCGAATGGTATTATCTTCCGAGGATAAAAAAAGAAAACCTGGAACATTTGCTGTCAGCAAATGGCAGCACTTTTATAGAGTAATATTTTTGTACCATATTTTTTTCTTTTTTTTTATTATACTTTTTCTTTCAAATCCTTGTTTATACTGTACAATTTTTTTACTTCAACCTTTTTTACTCTCCCGTCATTCCTTATTAAATGTCCCTCTAATAATTTTCCTTTTTTTTTTGTTAATTCTTTTCGGACCCTCCCACATTCACATTCGCTAATGACTTCTTCCCACCAGTCGTACATTACTCGAGCGAACGGTTTTTCTAGTACTCTTTTCGTATGCAATAATAAGCAAGATTGATCGCGTCTTTTTTGGTATCATCAGCGGAGTCTTTCGCTGTAGTCTCCGCCGATGATTTATGCTCAATTATTCTAGGTCAAAAACACACACATCACTCTTAAAGATTCTTTTGAGATTTCCCTCCCAACTCTTTATGTAAATTCAATTTTCATTCTTCTACAATCCGCATATGTGGATCAAAATGTATATAATTTTTTTTATTTTTTTTTTCTTTACTTATCTTTCTATGTATAAATGCCAAACGTGCATTATTTATCCTTGCATATTTTTTAAGAAGAGGAAAACACTAAAGAAGGGCAAGATTGCATCATTACTCGATGTACATTTTCCCTTTTTAAACCTCGCAAAATGTTACAAGAGAACAAAAATTCAACATCAATTTATCATCACTACTTCATTTTATTCATCATTTCAAATCTGTGAATTACCGGGTTCACGGATTCTTATTCATCAAATTTTTTTTCCAACATAATCAAACTCAAAATCTTTGGGAAATATTTCCCTTTAAGTGTATATACCGGTATCTATGTTTCTATAATAAGCTTTAATTTTCATGGGATACTCTGATCCATTTATGAAATATGAGGCATAATGCGCAAGCAAAGTCTCTTTCGTATCTGGATATTCGTCGGCACATATTTTCATCTTTGAAATATATGTACACACGTTACCTGTGTCACTTTCGAATATGTAATCACGTTTTTCGCGAGGCGTTGTATTACACAAAAAAATCGTATTTTATCGAATATTTTTCAATACCTAAAAAAATCGAAATTTTTTTTATTTTGCTTTCTATTTTTTAATATCTCCCTCTCTCTCTCTCTCTCCCCCCTCTCACATTGTTGTGTACAACTTCAATTAGTCAGTCAATCAGTCAGTCAATCAATCAGTTAGTTAATCAGATACTAAAAAATAGTGTGACCTTTATAATGTAATTCATTTTTTTTTAATTTTTTTATTTTTGTTTCAACTCCACATTTTCGAAATCAATTGAAAAAGAGAATAATGCAAATTTTTTTTCACAATAAAAATTCAATAAAAAATTAGATAAATCGTGTATTGGTTTTTCAAACTAAATTTGGAAATTACGGAAGGCGCGGGAAAACATAAAGTTTATTGATTAAATGTTGTGATTATATAATGCGGTATTATGTGTCGTCATCTTAGGTACCAATACCATTGTCAAGAGAAAACTGTGTGGGGTTATACATACGAAAGAGAAAAACTTGTAAGAATCCGGTGCGTGTTTATATAGCCAAACAATGACAATGACAATGACAATGATGATGATGATAAGCATAACACAAGATGATTTTTAGAATTTTATTTCAATTTGGTAATAAATTAACCGCTAATTTCTGGTTTAAAAAAGCTCATTATGTGCAGATTTAATTTTTTATGATATATAAAGTATATATGAATATTTAAATTTATGTACGTGTTGGTTGATGGTCATTATCATTATTCTCATGATCATGTTGCTCAATAGATTTTCCATCCTCTATTTCCACTTTACTGTCCACCTCTCTATCATATTCCACTTTTAATTCATTTGAAGTGGTTTGATCCATCAACGCATCATTAGAATTCTCCAACCCATCTTTTTTCAATGCATGAGTTTCAGCAACTTCCGATTTTTCGCTCGACTCCGGAGAATTTAATACCGTCGAAGACGATGATTCTTGGGTGGGAGGAATCTTGAGTGCCTTCAAACTTTCGTCAATGCTGAACTGATTATACGAATCGTAGAATTGATTACAATCGAAATCCCATGTGCTTATCCATTTTAGTTTCTTGCAATCATTTTTTATCCACGGCCGTCCATAAGTTAACGGTGCGAAAAGTCTAAACACGTAAAGTACCATCACGAGATAAATTAAAGCCACGGCAGCGCGTTTTCGAGTACTTAAGGGGATGGTGAATAAGTCGAATGACACTCCAAAGAGGAGGATCGAAAAGTAAAGAGCTGGAAAATAGTGGTGAAGAAATAATTGTCGGGACATGAGAAAGAACGGGACCCAATGCAAGAACCAGCCAACAAATAGGAAATTGGCGTGGGATTCGTAAAATTCCTTGGTAACTTTTATTGATTAGAAAGCACGTGGTTATTTGATGCATATTCCCTCATTCAAAGTTCAAAATGATCAGTCATTGTTTCTTACCATTTAAATGATCTAAATATCCTCGCTTAGCTCTCAATAATAAAAAGATCTTGATGACAGCAAAGACCAGTAATGCTGCAGTTGAGCTCCACCAAACAATCGGATTTCCTATTAAATAAATATGGAGATGATCTTGACCCCAAAAACTGATTCCACGTTTCATCAATAGCCACGAAAATGGACGTGATTCATACGGATGAGAATCTGTTAGACCAGCATTTGTTGTCCACATTACACGTTGTAATTCAAAAAATTTGCCAAAAAATCCAGGTTTTCGATAATTAACCTTTTCAGCATCAGGTGGCACTAAAGTAAAATAAAATAAATATAAATATATATATATATATAGAGATCATCCATTTAATTTGATAAACAGAGATTATAATAAAATATTTACATGTAGGATGTGAATTCGTCTCAATGTACCAAATCGTTTTTGGTACAGTTCCTCCCTTTACACATGTGACCTCTTGTTGTTCAAAACCCCATTCGGGCAGTTTAACACTATGAGAAAATAGGTAACACCCAGACAATACATGAACTAACCGAAATTTGGTATGAAGCGTACGTAGGCGCTCCCCTGCTTTCGGATCAGATTTATCATGCTCATAGATTTCAACACGCCATAAATCATTATCATCACCGTCGAAGCCAGGAAAGCCATAGCCACTAGAATTATCAGACAACAATTTCTTTAATTGATGGAACCAAGACTTTGCGAGTTGTATTCTTAATAAATCACCTGACTTCATTTTGGTAATCAACCTCGGTAACAGGAGGTCTAACATCATGACTATGTAACCTTTTTTCTGTAGCAATATGTTCCAATCTAATTATCGCACCATTTTCAATCCATATTGGATCTTGCTCTTCGAATGATGTTTCCGGTTTGGTTCGATTAGTAATTATCCAAACATTATTTTCATCTTGGTGTGGATATAAAGTTATTTGTTGCTCTTTTAGAGAGTAATCAAAGAGGTAAAAATTAAATTAGGTACAATAAAAAAATCATCAGAGTAACATTCAAAAGTTACGTTTGCTTCCTCCAGGATAAAAATGATTATGAGAATGCAAATATCCTCCTTGAGTGTTAAGATGTTTAATCGTGACTTTCGAACCATAAGCAACGTCTAAAAAAAAAATAAAATTAAACTAAAGGTAATAAGAAAATCCCATGAACCTAGTAATCTATAATTACCTATAGGTGTATCCTCGATTCCGTGGCCGCCAATAGTTTGCTGAAATTCAGAACTCATAAATCCATCTCCATCTCCACTATTCTTAAGAATCGCAAAATGAATAGCAAACATCAACATATAGATGACGATCGGAATCAGAATCAGACATAGAGCACGGGCTAAAAAATGTTTGATCCATAGTTCCTAAAAAAAGTTAATCTCTCAATACATAATTATTCAGAAATAAAAAGTTAAAAGCATAAAATAAACCTTACGAGACTAATTTGTAAATCTCCTAGTAAATCCCATAAACCTTTAATAGTAGAGAATCCAATAAGCGCAATGGTAAAAAGACCAACCCATTTTACACTGATAAAAAAGAAGTTTAATTTTTAGCAAAGAGGAATAAAAATCGATCCCAAAGAACACACCTTACTGTAAGCCCAAGACCAACTCCAGTCATCGCCATCCAAAACCACCACCAGAAGGAAAATGGCCTTAATTTAAAATATTATAAAACTGATTACTAAAATTCAAAGTAAATTCAGAATCGATGAAATATATTGTAATGAATACCTTCGGTAATGGTTATGAAAATTCACCCACATCAATACGGTGAATGCGGTAAATAATATTAAAGGAGAATCTAATAATATAAGGCGGCTTTGTGCAACTAATCCATTTTCTATTATTTTTATAATATAACAAGAATTAATATTACTAAATTTGGTAACAAAGATTGTGATTTAAAAATCAAAAATAAAATATTACCAAAAATGAGTATAGCAGCAACCAATGTTGCAGATATTGTAGAAAATCCCGCTAATTTAATCGTCAAATATGAGATCGGAATAACCAATATTCCGAGTATGCCAGGCATTAATCGCATTGCAACATACGGAACTTTAGGCTCTAGATAATCTCTGCAAAAATAAATTATATATAATTATACGTTTTTCACAAAATCAAGCCCCCACCATAGTCACGCCGGTTTATAATCACACCTCTTTATAGTCACAAATTTTACTTTTCACGTTATTAAAATTATACTTTTTATAATCACACACCCACGCCCAATTTGACTTTCTCAAGAGAGGTGACTACAGAGGTGTTTGAATGTATTAAAATGCAAATAGAAACTTACTTTCCGATCTCCTTGAAATCGAAATTTCCATCAAAACCGCCAATTACGGCGGCAAGCGTAATCAGCAATTTTGCTAATGGTGGGTGCACATCCATGAAAAATCTTCCCTTAATGTATTTACTATCACAACAAGAGAACGTGTGAAATTCGCTTATTTTTGATCGGTTAAATAGGATCAATCAAAATATCGCTTAAGTTCAATACCTCGCGAAACCACCAAAATGTACTTCATCAAATCTATTGGCGATAAAGCCGAAAATCTTTATTATTAACGTATCGTACAGAGAAAATTTATTCGTGCAAAATGTGACAATGTAACCTTTTTGACGCGAATATATTCTCTTTTTAAATAGGATGCAAGTACTTACACAACCGATGTTGGCTCTGATATTCGATATAAACGCACGATAAATGCTAGTAACACGAGTCCTGCTATTATTCGTACATCGTGAAGAGGCAGACCACCAAGAACTGTGTGGGAAGGTCTTCTAATGTTTTTCTCCCACGAATCATATGCCAGCGTTTCTTGAGAGTCTTTATGCGAGTGTTTTGATTTTCGATATCGAATATCACCGAATGCTAAACTAGAAGTTGTACTTTGTTCTATCGATCAAAAAATATTAATACATTATATTTATGCGTGTAGAATATAAGACGCGTGAAAGGGACTACCTGAATATGGTATAGAGTTTATTACACCTCTTTCGATATATTCATTAGAAGCCATTTTTAAGGATAAAATAAAAGCCCCAATAATAATAATAATAATAAGGTTATCGTTATCGTTATTGTTACGGAAGAACAAAGTAAAAGTTGTATCGGTAATAGTATGATTTTTCGCGACAAATATCTCGATTTAACTTGGCAACATTTGTTTGGCTTATTTTAAATTAGCTCGTGATTTTTATGGTTTTTCCTTATTAGTTCTAAGTTTGTGATTTAAAAATAACCTCTAGCTAAATATAGCTAAATTCTACTAAAGATTTTCCTTCGTGTAAGGACCCTCAATTTTCTTTGCACCATGAATATGTAATCGATTATCCTCGCCACCTGATAAGATGAGATCTTTTGACCAATCGATACAAAGCAGCTTTTTGCCCGATTCTTTCTTTCTATTATGATTATTGCTATTACTATCGCTCGCCCGCAGAGTATACAAAGGTGTTTTACTTCGAATATCCCATATCTTTACGCATGAATCATAGGAAGCACTTGTCAACATGAATGGAGAACTTTCGGACCACGATACAGCCGATACCCAATTCTGATGTGACACTAAAGATAGTTTTACGACAGCCACGTCTATTTTTTATGCACATATAAGAATTAATGATTTTATATTAAAAAAAAATCAAAACATAACTTCAAAAACCTTCTGCACGAGAATCCCATAGTCGAACAGCTCGATCGGCATGTCCAGATGCAATAAGGCCAGATTTTTCCGAGTATGCAATATCATAAACTACCTGATCACAATTCTTTAATATAAAATATTAAAAAATTAGCTTGCAGGCTATTTGGTCAACAAAACTCCTACAGTTTATTTGCTTAGCTAACCTTAGTATCAACATTGGTTCTCGATTCGATATCCCATGTACGTATTGAGTAGTCCCAACCACCGCTATAGAGTTTCGCAGGATCTTTAGTATCAAAGAATACCGAAGACACTGGACCAACATGTCCCGTCAATATACTAATTGGTTTCTATATTGAAGATTCGAATCGTTATTTTGGTCTTCTTCACATTACAGTCAAACCAAGCCCCATCAAGCTGAAGCACTAATTAAAACCCTGATAAACCGAAGTAAGTTTGGTTTCAGGAACAGCTATAGTAAATCTCCCTCGGTAAACCGAATTTTTCAAAAATTTTTTACTAAGAGCACCGATTACTTCGGCTTAATGAGGTTTGACTGTATATGTATGCAAACATTATAAAAAAATAAGAGTTTTATCTCCATTTACCTTAACGATAATAGAAGTAGCTTTCTTTTTGCGAATTTTTCTTCTTTTTTCCGCATTCTCGATAAATTCATAATCAGAACCATCCTCATCATTCGGCGTAGCAGTCGTTGTCCAGATTCGAATTGACGAATCCCAAGAACCACTTGAAAACTAATAATTCATTTCATAAGAAAGAATATTATCCAGCGAAAATCGATAATAAAATAAGATCCTTAAAATACCAGTGCTTCTTGAGCATTTATGGATATACTCTCAACACTGCCTTTGTGACCTCGGCATTCATATAAGACGTCGTATTGTTTATCGGAAATCGAAGACTAAAAAAGAGTTCTTAGAAGTAATTTATATAACTTTAATCTTCTCAGTTGAAAACAATCTCTCTTACATGCCATGCACGAATAGTGCGATCTTGAGACGCAGTTAAACAGATTACATCTTCCTCTTTATAAAATAGAAAAGGAAGAGATTAACCATAATTGACTGATAAAAAAGTAATAATAATAATAATAATAATAACAATAATAAACCATAATTGACTGATAAAAAAGTAATAATAATAACAATAATCATAAAAATATGCAATTGTATTCAAACCTTGTATTGAAACCCAGGCGACGCTCTTAATCGGTGCATCATGCCCAACAAAAGTCTGTAAACACTCGCCAGAAGGGTTCCATATACGAGCATTATTATCATATGAACCAGTCAAAAAATATCTAATTCAAAATTAAATAAGATGTTAAGATGATGAAATCAATTTCTCATGATTAACCACTCACCCTTGCTCATGACCTCTCACCGAGCTTACCCAATCATCATGTTGATAAGCGGATAAAGAACTAGGAGGAAGCATAGACTCCACATATTCAAGAGTAACTATATTTTCCTAAAAACATTCATCATCAAAGAATATTTATTCTTAATCTTCTAGCAAAAAAAAAAAAAAAAAAAAAATATTAATCATCGATCATACTGTGGATAATCCAGCATTTTGTAAATATTCTGATAAACTCGTCCGTAGAAATTCCCCATCAATAAGAAAATCAAAAGGAATCGGCTTTTCTATGGATTAAAAAGATCGCAGAGAGATATATAAAATCCATCTTGAAGATCAAACGATTATTTAAGTATTACCATAGCCCAGCAAGTGGTTAACAATTTCTGATAGACCATAACGACGTAAATTCGCTGGAACAAGGATAGCAGAGTCAGAAACAGCGTATTTTCGTTGTTGAGTAACAAGTTTTACTTGTATCTGAGATTCATTATCTTGCTCCATTTTTTTCAGACGATTATTACAATTTTTTTTTTTTGATTCAATTGATATCGATATAAATTTTATTACCAATCTAATTGGTTAATTTCTACATTTGTTATGAAAACTCAATTTATTGTTAAAAAAGTGATAGTGTATATACAGACATGAAAAATTGAAGATTGCTAAATTCAATAAAATAAACTAGAATTAATAAAATATAATTACTTTTACGAAATTAATAATATTAATGATTAAATATAATGAATGTTCGGAGAAGACTAATGGCATCGATAACGAGAACAATAGAATTGATTAGCAGATTATTTTATTTTCAGAATTTTCGAATGTCTGTCTTCTTTTCTGAGCAGCCATGAATGCTGCGCGCATTTTGAAATAGTCCTTATGCATGCCGCATTCACTTTTTTGTTTTCCCTCCCATCTGCCACATCTTTCGTTAGATGAATCATTGGTTGGTTTGGTACTATGCCAATCGCCAATTGAACGATACCCTTGTTCTAATAACGGATTATATGGGACCTGCAAAAGAAGAATATATTTAGTCAAAAGGATCAACAAACTTGTAATACCATGCAATGTGATAATTTACCTCATTCGCTCTGATATAAGTCCAAACTCTATTGAAATCCCAAGTTGCCAAAGGATTCAACTTTAGAAGACCAGTTCCCCTTTCCTTCTCCAAGATACTTATATTCTCTCGTTCCCCTCGTTGACTTCGTCTTCTTCCCGTTATTACTGTCTTGACACCCAGTTGTTCATAAGCTCTTCTTGACGGTTCTACTTTCACCAGATAGTCGTAACTATCTTCATTCGTTTCCCACAATCTTTGTCCATATTGACTTTCAAATTCTTGGACAGTTCCACAGTTGACCGGTTTAAATATATACAATGGTGCATTGTAATGAGAAGCTGCTCGGTTCGCGAGGGCAACAGTTTCAGGAAAATGATAGAGCGTATCAAGGAAAATAAGTGGGACTAAATGCTTAGGTCTGGTTCCTTTTTCCATGGCTTTTTCCAGACTGATTTTAGATATCATATCAAGAGCAACTAAGCCTATTATTTCGAAAGAGCAAGATAGAAGGTAAATAAAAATATCTCAAGAATTATTTATCGTGACAGCTTATAAGGAAATCTCGAGCTCTTTTTAAATAAAATCATTACAGGTAATAATAATTATGGAAAAGGGTTATTTATGTAATGAGTTCAGTAGATTATTTTATCATTGATTATTTTTATTTACATTTAAACTTGATTTCATTTTAATCTGTCACATTTATTTGCTATAATCAAAGTTAAAGTGCCAACCAACCTGTAAGTCCAAAGGCCGTCGTTTGGTATAAACCTGGTAGATGTTCGATGGCCCATGCTAAGATTTCTTGAGGAGATAATTTCGCTAGTTTTTCATTATAGTATTTGAGACTATCATTAGAGAAACCGGAGAATTTGATGCTTTCCGCTCGAATGGATTCAGTTTCCTCGTACATTATTGTGTTAGGTGACATTTTTGATTTACTCGAACTTCAAAAAAAGCTTGTTGACCTAAGATTTCTTCAATAAAATTAGGAATTATCACGGCAAATGATGGGGGGGGTTTTTTTTTATTATGGAACTCCTTCCTCGTATGCAACCGTTATATAGTTTTTCTGGTGTTAAATTTTTTTTGTTATTTTTTTGATACCTCGATCAATGGCCAATCAAATCGCTCCGTGATTGCGTCAAATTCTGAAAAAAGTGGTGACTTGGATTTTTAAGCATTATGATTCAAATCTCAAACTAGCAAATCGAAGTGTAACATTTGATATGCTGTGATACGCGTCGATAAATTAATATGTCAGGCGCATGCAAATATTTGCGGATAGTGTAAACTAACTCCATATTTTTTTTGATTTCAATTTTCATATGTTTAGAAAGGATTTTCTCTTTTTTTAATTAGAATGAAAATTTCCTTTTGATAGACAAATGATTACAAATGGTACACGTAAGCTACAGTTTCCCGAATCCCATAATTTTCATTTATTAACGTGAAGGTACCGTGCATGTCATTAATAATAACAATGATTAATAATACAACCACTAAATGATAATATACTAGAACAAAAATAGCGATATTTATTTTTATTGGAGGTCTTTTTGACCAAAGTATCTTGTTACAATAGTGATAAAAATATTAGCAGCAGGGAGATTTTGATCATCTTTACTCCGCTAGAGAAGACGAATAAAATAAATATAGAAAAAGTTTAAGAATTTAAGATCGAATTTTTAGTATTAGAGAAATACCATTGATTTCCTAATTTCAATGCATCTTCGACATAATTCTCTTAAAATCGACATTTGATCGGATGTCAATAATTGATCGACGCGTAGAAATAAGGCAAAGATCCATCTGGATTGTTCCTTGGTGATTCCGGTAATTTCGAGCCATTTAGTGTGGTAAGAAAGTAATGATAGAGTAGTTTGCTACTTCATTGAAAGAGTCGTCATTAGCGAAAGATTAAAATCCCATAAAAGTAACATCTTTATTTTTATTCTGACCTGATCTAACTGAGATATAACACTCAAAGATGGAAGATTACCAATTTCATTTACATTCTTTTTTAAGTGCTCTCGTTTTTTTGTTGGCAAATCAACCCCATAACAAAACTTGTACCAATCAGCTTCCGCATGCCACTTAGGCAAACGAATGCCGGATGATGGAGGAAATCGGTTGAAATTTTTGGATATAAACAGTCGCAATGCCTCGGAAACATCAAAGTTTTTGGATTTTATCAATCAGCTCTCAGTCGAGATTACAAAAATATCTTGCGACTAACCTTTCGCAGCTTCTCGAACTTATTTATAAATAAATTTTCCCATTCTCTCCGCGGTAATAATTTCACAATTTCTAAACTGTCGCTTTTCAAGACCTCCCCCGCTTCCCAGCCACGCTTTACCCACTCGGCTGCTTTATTTTGATTGTTGTGCAAGGATGGTTGTGACGCGGTAAAAACGTAGGGTATCTTTACAGCTTCTTGCCTCACCATTCGTAAATATTCCGCCCCAGAGCTAGGAGGCTTATTTACGTGTTTAATAGGAAGTTCCGAAACTGGTAGGGACTGGACGAAAAGCTCCTCCTCGCCATCTAATTCCTTGTTACTATCCGAGACTGAAATTACGTTTCCCAAAGACATTTTTGGTGATCTAAATTTTGTGAGACACTGACAACAGATATTACTGGTCAATAACAATGTCAACGTGGTCGATAAGATAAATTGCTTTAGTCACTGCACATTATATCGTTTATCAAGGTTTTTTATTATTATTAGAAGAACGAAATCTTAATTAAATTATTATAAGAACGAAGTCTTAATTAAATTATGATAAGAACGAAGTCTTAATTAATATTTCAAAATATTTTTTAATCTAACTTATTCAATTTAATTTAATTGATCGATCTCAATTTTTAGCCCATCGTATGCTGGTCTAACCCAAAGATCAGGCTCTTTTTCTTGCAACTCTTTCATTTCCCTTTCCAAGTCGTAATGTTCAATCTTGTGTGAAAATCCTACAAGATACGTTCGTTTAGGCTTTGGACACAAAACTCGCGTGGTTTCCACAGCTTGATCTACTGAGAAATGAGAAAGATGCTCTTTATCTAAAAATAAATAAATAAATAAATAAACATATAAGGTATAGAATAAAAGATTGACAACGAAAAAAGACCATAGGATAACTTACGAGATAATGCGTCCAAGATGAAAAGTTTACTTCCTTTTATTTTTTCTTGTGTTTGTTCAGGTATAAAGTTACAATCCGAGATATAAGTTATGTTATCAAAACGAAAGCCAAGATTGATGAACGGTTCTTTACTCGTGAAATGAACGCCGTGATGGACTAATTTTTAATGAAATAAACATGTGGTGTGGTAAATCGATAATTTTTCGCGCACTAAATTGGTAAGATCAGATCTTGATTTGAGAAATACCTGGCAATGGTATAAACTCTAGACCTTCAACAACAAAAGGGGTAGACGAGTCTATTGTACGAAATTGAAACGATGGAAGATCACCACCACCTAAAATATATATTAACGCAATTATCGATCGAAATTAAATAAAAATAAAAAAATTATTGTATTATCGAATAGAATTGTTACCAGTCGCCAGGGAGTTATCCATAATATAAGGAAACGTTTGCTCGAGGGCCGTCTTGGTGTCATTACTTAAATAAATTGGAATGTATTCTTGAATTGCTTTATTGAATGTCCATGCACGTAAGTCGTCCAAACCATTGATCGCGTCAGCATGAGCATGTGTCAATACTAACGCGTCGATATAACGCAACTTATAATGAGGAAACCATTTTAGAGCTGATACTATTATTAAAGAATTTAGTTGAATGAGAGATTATTTTCTTAATATATTGACAATTAATATAATTCTCTTACCATAAAATGTTTTCCCGCAATCTATGAGGATATTTCTGAATTCACCAGGTAAACAGAGAATGAATAAAAATTTCCTTAAATTGACGGAATCGTCTATAAAAATAAAATTCACCTTAATCGTCCATCAGGATTATTTACGCGGATTAATAGACTCGTATTTCTACGAACGTTCACCTGTCCACTTTCATTAAGGGTTGATATACATGTCTTGCAAGCTTGTTCAGGAGCTGTCAAGCATATAATACTAGGTACGCCAGATGAAGTCCCTTTAATAAACATAGTAAAGTTAGAACTCGTCTCTCAACCGAATTAAGTGTCCATTTTGATGAATTACCTGTCCCAAGAAAGACAATTTCTTTTACTTTGTTCAAACTCATTTTGTATTGTCAGTAAAACGGAAAGCACTTGCTCCATTTCCAAGATTGTTTCTTTTATAAGAGAGTTTTGGTTGTATAAAGTAAAATCGATCAACAATTTAATTTTGCACGCGATTGGTATTTTGATGCTCCATCTCCAGGAAAATCATTTGTAAATAATTTTTTTGTCTCGAATTTTTTTTTTTTGGCTATCTTCAATAAATAAAAACATACAATGGTAAGCATTGCATATTGCTTCAAGAACATCTCTGAACTCGAATTTATTATGTAAAGTTAATGGATGGGTTCATCCAATGTAAAGAAATCAAAATTTCATCGAATTTCTTATGCTAAAATTTAGTCAAAAGGCAAAAAGAAAACTAAAGTAGAAGAAAATATTTCACTCGGTCCTCAAGTCCGAGAAGGTGAAGACGTTTTTGGGGTAGCTCACATTTTTGCCTCTTTTAATGATACGTTTGTCCATGTTACGGATTTATCCGGACGAGAAACTATTGTTCGAGTTACTGGTACGTTTAGCAATTTAATAGTTACACCTCTCTAAGTGCACCCTCCCTAAGTGCACGTACTATACAACTCCTCTCTTATATTCTGGTCCCAGCTTATAAGAGCTCTATATATTTTGACCTCTATAAATGCACACTTTTTATTTTTTTTACTATGGTCCCAAAGGGGGGGGGGGGTGCACTTAGGGAGGTGTAACTGTATAATATTGAATTTCTAGTTTATTCTTGATACCACTTTTTTACATTTCCACAGAGGTTTGGGAAATGAGTTTGCTACGGCTGATATATATTATATATATGTATATGTGTGTGTTTGTAGACTGGCCGAAAACAATTATTTTTCGAAAAAGCTTCAAAATAGTTGATAATCTTATCAAAATTAGAGTAATTTATTGGGACTAGTGGTGAAACACATAATCTCAATACAAGCTCTTCAACTGATAGTTATTTGCTTCTCTTTCATTGCGATTGTTATGTCGAATATGGCATCTTAGGTGGTATGAAAGTCAAAGCCGATCGTGATGAATCTTCACCCTATGCTGCAATGTTGGCCGCACAAGATGTGGCTGCCAAATGTAAAGAATTGGGGATCAATGCTTTACACATCAAACTTCGTGCAACTGGCGGTAATGGAACGAAGACACCAGGACCGGGTGCTCAATCTGCCTTAAGGGCCTTGGCTAGAGCTGGTATGAAAATTGGACGAATCGAAGATGTCACACCTATTCCAACGGATTGTAGTACGTATTTTTTTTATAATTTTGAGTTTATCCTCGTTAACATCGAGATTACTTTTGCTTCCTATATTTGAATTGTTAAAATTAAAATCATCCTATGTATTTTTCCCAATAAAATTCAGCTCGCAGGAAGGGTGGACGAAGAGGAAGACGTTTATAGAAAAATCGAGCACATTTCTTATTTATCTTATGTAAAGTGAACTCAAAAAAGGAATCAAACACTTATCGTTGTAATGAATATTGGCGTTGTCAACGAGATAATTACTACCGCGATGAGTGTTTAGTTCACAATACTCATGGTCGTAGTAAATGTACTAACTATCGAAAAAAATGTATATCACGACGCGAATGCCTGAAAATAAAAAATGTTATTTATACGTAATGAAATTAGTTTAATCTATAATTAAAGAATCTCCCTTTGTTAAATCGTGTAACCCTCCAAATCGTTCTTTATTATCAAATAAAACGTACCTTTACCATCTCGTTACTGGCACAATACCTTTGAAATTTAGTAAAGAAGCCCTCCCAGCGCGAATAAACTTCCCACAAACCTTACTCAACCTGTCCCATCTATGTGTCACAATATATAAGTGTCGATCGATTAAACGGGATGTCGGATAGCAGTATGTTTCATTGGTTGACTTTTACCACATGTGAGCTTAATTTGCCGTAACTATGTTTTCATTATACCTGGATCGGCAAGTCCAACAATATAGAATCGAATTTTCCTTTTTCTAGAAATAGATATATTGAAATTATCAAACCAGATGATTTGATGCAGAAATATTGGGATCACAAGTATAATAAATCTAAATCTATGCGAGGATTATACAGACCGCTTATTAAAATTATAAGCAAAAGCCTGAATTGGAATCCTTAACTTATCCGTGATATTAATCTTCGCCAAATTCGTTTATTTTCGGTGAAATTCAGTTATAATAATTATTGTAATTATTGAATTATTGTAATTAAATGTGTTCATCAATCATATGTTTAATTTGAATAATTCTACAATGACGCGCCCTACAAAGAAGGCAGCAACAAGTAAAAAAAAAATTCTTAGTTTCCTGTAATAACTATAATCATGGTAAATGTATCATAATAGAGCATAATAAGAAAAGGTACGTTTAAAGTTCATAAGGAATGGATACGAACAATTCAAGGTAAAATACATTTTGACCCACAACCTGTAGATTTGTCAATATTTGTAGTCAATATTTAACGTTAATACGTGCATGTACGTATATGTATTTTCTTATAAAACGAAGATTTTTTACCTTATAATCTTTGAAATCTAGTTAATTAAATTAAAGCGTTGTTAATAAAAAATATGTTGTATGATTTTTGGAGTTCATATTTGAATTTTCGGTGTCTTATCCATTCATAATATTAATATCGTGAGACACACGCTGACATTGTAAAATAATCATTACTATGGTATATATTTAAAAAAATTTGCCTTTATCTGGTATATATCGATATCATATTCGGTATTCACATAAGCTAAAATTTCGTGTAAACGAATGCTTTTAGAATATTAATGTCGACACTGAATTTTTTTTTGAAAATAATGAGTTTACCTTCATTTGGAACATACCATAAAACTTAACACTTATTTAAAATCAATCTGAAATTTCCTTTTAATTAATATAAAAACAAATGTACGTATCCGTAGCAGCTGAATTGATATTAATTTTGAAGAAAATATTCGACTGGTATAAACTGGATTTTTTTTGTTAATATTTGTGGGAATGCTTTTTTATACTTTCATCTCTTCATCAAGTTCTGTCATACTTTGACTTTTCATCTGTTTTAGGATATTCTAAAGAGAAAAGTTCCTCAGCAGTTGGTCGGTTTTCTGGAAATATTATTTGGCATTGTAAGTCGTATTCCTTTATGGATGTCGCATACGAGATCTTTATCTTGACGAATAGTCGTTCACCAGTTACAACCTCGTACATGACCATTTCGAAACCATATATATCTACAACTTTAGTATATGACTTTCCATTTAGTAGTTTTGGACTCTTATAAGAAAGTATTTCATAAATTTCTTGATTTCTTATATCCACTAATCGGTAAGACCCATGAAAACATCAATAGGTAATATATTTCCAGTGATAGTTTACTTCCTTTTCGCGAATCTTCATTAAAGCATAGATAACATATAGTAAATTTTTTTAATCTAAAGTATTTTTTTAAGATTTCTATTATAATTTAATAAAAATATTATTTTTAAGTTTAGTTTTTATATTGTTTTAAATTTATAATATTTTTATAAATGAAATTTGTATTTATAACTAATTAATTAATTTAATTATTAATTTAAAATAATTACTGTATGATATAATTATAATTAATATATAATAAATAAGTTAAAGCAGAATTCAAAATTAAGTTAATTAAGAATTTAATATTAATAATTCAATATAACTTTATAATATACTAATTAATATAAAGTATATATACTTTTTAATAAAAATTAAAACTTTATATTAATATAGAATTTAAATTTTAATTAAATTAAAATTAAGATTTAATTCTTACTTGAAAGTATATGTATATATTATATTTCTAAATAAAGTATAATTCTTAATAATAATATATTTTCTATTAATAATTAAATTTATTAATTTAGGATTAATAATGATTCCATTCCAGTTTATTATATACATAAAATATGTATAGTCAAATTTCTCTATATTTACATCTTTTTATAGTTATTTAATTTGAGTTTTCTGATTAAGTAACAAATCTCTCTAAGTTTACACAATTTTGTTTTCTCAAATGATTACTATATGATATAATAAATTGAATAAAGGTTTATTAATGAATTAGCTTAAAATAATGACAAGAAAATCTTGTAATATAAAGTTAAAAAGATAAAAAATAAAAATATTAAAAAGTACTCTATAATTCAATAATACTTTCAAAACATTTTGATACTTGTAATTTATATAACTATTATATATGAATTAAAACTTTCATAAAACTATGTAACAGTAACTCTTTATTAGTAAAATATTTTCAAAAATCCATTATTTTTAGTAAAATCTACTATATCGAGTGGATTTTATTAAAGGCAGTTGGGATATTATCCACTATATCGAAATGTTAAATTAAATTTTAAAGAAAAATCATTTAATATTGTCTTTCAAATATTTAATAAAATTGGTGAATTAAAAGAAAGTAAATTAAACATCAAATTAAAGAATGTCAAATGTCAAATTTTTTAATTTAAAAAGTTCATTATCATAAGGAACGAAACGCTGGCTTTCTTCTGGTAGAAGCAACAAAACCCGAAGTCAATTAATAAAAGTACTGTTTCAATTACTTTGAACTTTATTATAATTTGACTTGTTCTTGATTAAGGCTCAAGAGCTTGATTATATACATTGATCTTCGGGTACCGCCCAAAAATTAAATTAAAATCCCGAAAGTCCAACACCCCTAGATTCCAAAAATCCCCGGCTTCCCAATATCCCGACGTCAAAATCCCGAATTCCCGACAATACACTCAAAATTATGCAATAAAGCATTGATGCGAAACGCATATAGGCGCGTGTAATAAACAATAATTATCACTATCGTAACGATCGTAAAAGAGAAATTTGTACTAGCCTTATATTACCTACTCTTTCATACATATATACATACTTTTACACTTATATCTTTTTATTTTTTTAGGAATGTCGGGATGTTGGAGAATCGGGATTTTGGACGTTCTGGATTTTAGGTCTGAGTTAGATCCACCAAATGGTCAAAACAATATTCATATCTCACACCACCCACATGTAGCATACATTGATTAAAAAATCCCTAACCCGATGTGGGCAAACTAATTGACAAAATAAGCTATATCTTTCTGTTAACGTTAACGATTGTATTAAAAAGTATTGCGCAAATAGTAGAAAAACTTTAATGTTTTCCAATGCATATACATATTTAGAAAGGCTCATATGTTAACCATATAAGCTCATTATCTTTTAAAACTTTATTTAATATATTTTTACAAGTTAGTTAAACTATTAAGATTTAATTTTTTTCTAAAACTAGAAATGTTATTAGTTTATTTAAATTACTATACCATAATACGCTAATACTTATTATATATGTCTTAAAATACGTATCCATCTTACACATTATTCACAAACTGCATATTGTTTAATGATGACAGAGGTGCGCCTTTTTCTATGTAATCTTGACGCTTTTACCGCTAAGTCATTCCGAATACTTTCAATATGATTGAGTGTTAACTACAGAAAGGCAATAACAAAAGGAATAGTCCAGACATATGAACTCAGTATGCCTAACAGTCATAAAGTAGCAGTGAGATAGAAGACAAATCTCAAGTCGTAACAATGTCACAACTAAATTTCTCGATTATGAGTAATTGTGAATTGGATTGAAAATGTTAAATCAAAATTAAGTAAAATAATAAAAGAAATAAAATAAAGAGGGCAAATAGTATTTTAATTGCCAGAATTGTGCCATTGTTTCCTTAAAGTAAATGTGATCAGATTAAGTAATAAAATAATAAGTAAAAATTTTAATTATAACATATTTCCTCACTCAATTTTGAGCTCTGTTGAAAAATGTTAAGTCAAAACTAAGTAAAATAATAAAGAAATAAAATAAAGAAGGCAAATAGTATTTTAATTGCCAGAACTGTGTCACTGTTTTTTTAAAGTAAATGTGAGTACTAATCTCTTCAGGCACTGTATAACCCAGGTATGTCTTCGATCTAAGAACTGCAGTCATGGTTAAAAGTATAGTCAATCCTCCATAAAAGAACACAGTTGGGATAGTCAAATTATGTTCTATCATAGAGATGTTCTCTTATAAAATTTATTCAAGATTATATAATAACTATTTATAATATTTATTAAATCAATCAAATACTAGTATTACTAACAAAGTATTGATCAAGCATTGCCTGTTTTTTTGAAATTTCTTATATTTTTTCATAATCATATAATCTTTTTCTAATTAACTGATATTTTTTTATATCAATATTTTCATCTACCAACTGCTCTTCAAATCTAATAACTTTTTTTAATACTTCATATACTTTAGTAATTATAACTAAAGATAGTGAAGATTCTTCTAATTCTTCTTCAGAGTCTTTAATTCTTTCAATTTTTATATCTGTTAAAACTA